CTATAATTAATATAGGTTAGTCATATATGTCTAGATATCCTTTTTTTTATTTACCACACAGTGTTTATAATGTGGATTTATTAGTTGTATACTGTTTATAACTGTAATATTTGAAGTATTTATTTTACATTATATTCACCAGATATAAGATGCTTACAGTATGTAAGTTACTGGTTTAAGCAAATTATGTCATTCTTAAAGCAAATATATGTAATACTAAATTAAGATTTTACAATAATGTGGAAAATTTTATTTATTTAGCGTATGGTAAATGTGGAAAATATAATAAGAGAACGCCTCATCTGTATGTGTTATCTTTGTCTGACATACAACATAGCAAATTTGTGTTCAGTAGTTCAAATGTAGTGATGTTAGCCTTAATATTAGAATAAACTAACTTATAATCAAACTTTAGTAGACAAACATTTTCTGTGTTCTTTTGGTCGGTTTTTTTCTGATATTTTAATATTTGAGTAAATTATATAAGCTATTACAATTACTTAAAAAAAAAAACTCATTGCTCGCTTAAAAATTAAAATATCTAAAAAAAAACTAACCCACAAAACACAGTTAATTTTCTTCTCTTTAAATATTATAGGTTAGTTTATTCTAATATTAATATAATACTAAAGCTAACATCACTACATTTGAACTAATGAATGCAAATTTGCTATGTTGTACGTATGTCAGACAGAGACAACGTACTCAGGTATGGTGTCTTCTAAAATAAAGTTTTGTGTGTATATACTTTTAGCATAAATAATTTATTTATAATTTGTTTTTATAATTTATTTTTACCAATTATTGGTATAATATGTACAATAATTTTTATGGAAAAAATCTAATACATATACATTTTTAGACTTGAACTTCAAACTTATAAGCTCTAAACCATTATGCCCTCAAATACATTAATTATAGTTATTGTGGTATTGAAAAAACAATATATCATAATAAATAATATCTAAAAACTACAATATTATGTATTTGAATTATTAACTATGATGAACTATGAATGATTGGTTTATTTATTTTACTAGATCCAGCTAATGATTCACTATGTTATGAAGCAGCTATTGATGTATCAGAACTCATTACAGTTGAAGATGTTATGGACTATGTGAATTTAGGACCCAATGGTTCTTTGATTTATTGTATTGAATACCTAGAAAAGAGGCTTGATTGGTTTTTAGAAAAATTGAGACAATTTAACAATTACTATTTATTATTTGATTGTCCCGGACAGGTACATAACTTAATATGCTGCAAGTTAATTTATGTTATATGTTTTAATTGTGATGTTAATTTAGGTAGAAATATATACCCACCATAATTCTATGAAAAATATTATGTCTGCTATTACAAATAAATTAGATTTACGATTGTGTTGTGTACAACTCATTGATTGCCATTACTGCAGTGATCCAGGTATATCTATTGATTAAATTTATGCAATGTAGATATTGCTATGTTTAAACTAAATTTAAAATTTTTATCCCAACAATCATTTTTGTCTGTATCATTACATTCATTCTGTCTTTGATAACAGGACTTCAATAATATTAATACTATTGCTGAGACACATCCGCATATACACATATATTAGTATATCTTTTTAGACAATACTAATTGATAAAACTTGGTTGAAGTATCTGTAGTTATTTATAAAATACGAGTAATTATATCTAATACAAAAACAATTTTTTTCCTGTCTGTATGAATCTATGTTAATATTTGAATGAAACTACACATCTACTTTATGTATTAAATTAATGATATTTAATTTGGCTTTCAAACACATCAATTTTAAAAATAACTTTTCTTTTAACTGAATAATAAATTAATGATTAACATGTTTAGGATTATGCGATTTTTAAAATATTTTTTTTATTAAATTTAAATAATCTCATTAACCTGAAATGACTTAACTAATTTCATTTTTTTGTATAAAGCAAAATGTACATAGTATATGTGTAATATGTTACATTATATTATTTTATAGTAATTCATTTTTCTTTTTTTAATTTCTAGGTAAATATATTTCGGCTCTTTTGATGTGTACATCTACCATGTATCAAATGGAATTACCTCATGTGAATATATTGTCAAAAATAGATGTAGCTATTAAACACAAATCCAAACTTTTATTCAATTTGGATTATTATACGGATGTATTGAGTCTTGACCATCTATTAAATGCACTGCAAAACGATCCCCTTACTGCTAGGTAAGTAAATATTTATTTTTAATTATTAAAATAATGTTATTAAATATATGTCTACATCTCCTTTTAAATTCATGCAATATTATACAATTAACTACTGTTAAAATCTTTACTCCATAGTAATATTATATTATAAAACTAATGTTTTTTTTTAATTTCATCTATAATTAATTTTGTGTAAAATAAACTATAGTAAACATAAGTAAGGATTAATTTATGAAAAGCAATTAATATTTGCATAAATTAATTAATTATAATATATATATATATATATTTTAATGTTGTAAAACCTGGAACATAGTTGAAACTTCGTTTTAAGTAGACTATTAGGGATTAAATTGTTAGTAGGTAATGGCACTGTATTTGTCTTAGAATCCTTCTGGGGTCACCTGTATCATTGCAGATAAATTTTAATTGAGAGAAATATGTGATGATCCAGAATACTAAAATAAAAATGTCAGTCAATAGTTTTGGACTGTTGGAATAGAGATATTATTATTAGTATGGGTTCCATCTTTTGAATCATAAATTAATACTTAAGTTTTTTTTATGAAAAATTCTGATTAAAATATTTGAATTTTGTTTATCGATAAATTATGATTTTGATAGACCAAAAATTATTGAGAATATGAGGGTTGTTGATGTGTGCATAGAGGATATGAAAAATCGAAATGAGTGGAGGTTTAGGATAAGGGTAGCTGAAATAATTTGAAAAAATATGAGGAAGAAAAAGATAAATTATGGTTTTGACTGATCCCCCATAAATCAATTTTAATTCAAACAAATGAAACATTAAAGTACGACACTTATTTGTATTTTTTCAGGGTGTTCCATTGGCTATAATTTAATTATTATAAATTCTAAAATATTTACTTGTGTGTTTTCTATAGATACCATCGATTGAATAAGGCTATAGTTAGTCTAATTGAAGGACAAAATATTGTATCCTTTGTACCTTTAAATGTGAAGGATAAACGAACAATAGAATTGGTGAGAAAAACCATTGATAGAGCTAATGGATACATATTTAGTCCAGAAGAAAATCAGAATGCGGAAATGCTTAACTCAGTAATGAAGTTGGATATCAATGATTTAACTCTTGATGTTTTAGAAGATTTACCTAAAACCGATTCAACAGAGATGATGCAAAATTGAACTTAAATTTTATTCCTAGTATTACTCTAAACATTTATATGATTTTTTTCTCTCTCTATATATAACTAAATAAAATAATTTTAATTAAAATGTATTATTTATTTCTTAGAAGAAAAATAAAATTGTATGCAATAATATTAAACCAAAAATTTACTAAGAGATGTGATATTCCTTAAATTGCATGCCAAAATAATAATTATGCTATAAAATACCAAATGTATACAAAGTATGAAAATTGCATACAAATATAATTTAAACCAGTTAAAGTATAAGTAATAACTGTATACACACTGAAGATTTTATTAAATTATGAATATTTTAATAAATTTAAGTACATAGAAAAGGTCATTAATAAAACATAAAGCTAAAAACTAGCAGAATAAAATTCTTTTAGAAAGATAACGAAATATGTTAAAAATCTGTTGGACAATTATGAGGATCTTTTCATATGTATACTGTTTGTATTCAATTAAAATATTTGATTTTATCTTGAAAATTATTAACAAAAAATAAAAAAAATACCACAATAAAATTATTAAAAACAATCAAAGTAAATAAAAATAATTGTAAAATAAATTAACAACAATATTGTTTATTATAAATTACAATTTACAATTAAACCAATTAAAAAATAATCCCTTTCAAAATGTATAATTAAGAGCTTATATAGTTTATTTTGATCACAGTCATTTTAAATTCTGCACAATAGTCATTGTTAATTATACATAATTCATTGATAAAGCCTTTTCGTAATTATCTTCTGTAAGATTACTGTTAGACAATATTGTATCAGAGCGAGATATGGAGAACCCAAGTAGCTCATTAACTGAATCTTGCAATGATGGCTGTGCTTCTTTCAACTGTTCATAAATACTATAAGCTGTTGTTAGAGCTTTATCCAAATCAATTTTTTCACATAAATTATTTACATGCTGAAATAACATTGATATAACATTAACTGTCACAAATAATAAATTAAATAATAATACTATTACTTTTAAGATTTCAGTGAGTCCATAATTTTCATTGATTATGATATCTTTCTCATTATCTAATATAGCTACGCATATTAAGAGATGGAAATTTGCACATGGAATATCTGTCCACAGTACCTCCCATAAACGCATAATATCAGAATGAACAAATTCTCGTTTAAACAAGACCAAAAGCCATCTAAAGCAAAAGTACATATTGCTGGAATCCATTTTTTTTAAATGATTTTCCAGTTTTGGTGAAACTGTTGTTAATAAATAGTGTAAATCATTTAGCTGTTTCTTCATGCCGGTTTGTTTTAATTCAAAATTTGTATTCTAAAGATGAAAGAGAAATAAGATTAGACTTAAATTTACATATTGCATGAAGTTAAATCGGTTTCATTACTTACAACTCTGTTCATAAAACCCACAAAACACCAAAATGATTCCACTTCATCACTGTTCATTATCATCAATATTGGTGATAATAAATCACTCATACCCTGAACATAACCAAGATCAAAATTATACATGACATAAGTCATTAAAACATTATGAAGTTTTGAAAGGTTTTTATTTTCTTCTCCGGCATAAAAATCAAGCGTTCTATCAGTTCTATAAACATCTTTATCTGTAGGTAAAAAATTAGCTATTAATTATTTTTAAAAAATATAAATATCGAAAATTACCAATTAGGCTTTTTCGGTCTCTATACATGTTGAATCTTGATACTTGGTCAAAAGACATATTCATCCACTGCACTTTCATTCTTTCATATTCAATTTTCTGTTGTTTATCAATAAGTAAACGTTGGTCTCGGGTAGAATTCCAAGGATAATACCCAAGTAAATATTTCCATACTTCGTGTCTTATTGAGTGTTCACAACCCTTTATAAAATTAAATTCAATATTTAAAATACTTAATACATTATTATGTACCGATAGTATACTCACTCCAAAGAAAATTATGTTTTTTATTTTATCTACATTAATGATACGTCCTTCATTATCCATAGATTGATAAAAAGTTGTTTGGTCTAATGGATTTCCTCTAGGCTTTATTTTTGGTCTGGGTGGTAAGACCGATGGAGGGTGATCTACCATGGTGTATTCATCATCTTCTTCTGCTCTATTTAATAGTTCTACCACTTCTTGGTCTGGTCTTGTATCTGCTGTCCGAGTCACTATATATTTAATTGCCGATAAATACCTATTAAGATCCAGTGACATTCTATAGGGATTTTTTTAATGTTAAATTTATATAAAATGTACATCTTTACTGGTTTACTATACTTGTAATTAACTTAATCACATAACAATTATTTTTTTAATTAGATAAAGATTTAACTATAAATGTATCAAGTTATAGAAAGGTTTGTTATTTATTTTTCATATATAAATTTATTATCATATTTAAAATAATAAATTAGTAAATAAATCAATAATTAATTTACTCACATAGAACATCACTAATTTTTGCAAATGTTTCATATGTTTTTTCTACAGGATTGTTTTGGAATCCACTAATGAAACTCCAAACTGTACTTGTAGGTGGTTGATCCGGAAATATTTTTAACTCTTTAATTGACTGACACAGAGGATCAGAATCTTGCCTTTCACCAAGTACTAAAATCACACCAGTAGGTCTGTGGTGTCGTATTTCTCTGATATAATAATTTAGATTAGTTATAATTGGACGTATAATTTTTTTAAATATTCAAATTTACTTTTCTGTATGAAGAAGTGTTTTCAAAGCTGTTACAAAATCATTTATCGGAGAACTTTCAAATAAAAATGTGACAAGTGAACCATTAGTCTGGAGTATTGAAATTTGATGTTTTTTATGCTTTTTCATTTTATAACTTTTCATTGTTGCCAAGTTAATTTTTATATCAATATTACGATCACCTAAAAATAAAAATTAAAAATATCATAGATTTTATTAAATATAATATCAAAATAAATATCTTAAAATTATTATTTAAAAAAAAATTATTTATATTTTTACAAGAATTTTTAATAACAAATATAAGAGAAATATATTTAGCAAGAAAAATATGAGTTTTGATCATTTTCACCAGATTATGAACTAATCCTTTACACTCAAATGAACATATTAATAACAAGACACTTCAATGTTTATCAGAAGTACTTATTATTAAAAAAAAAATCTTTAAAAATCTTAAACAATTTTTATCTATCAAGATCTAGAAATCTTATATTTACTTACTCTTATTTTTACCAATTTGCTTATACCCAGTATCAACTATATTCCATTCATCTGCATCAGGAAATACAGACATTTCTGTTGGTTTCCATTCAATAAACTTGGCAGTTTTCTATGCAATATATTAATAATTTAAGCGATTAAAAATGATAAAGAATTATATTTATCTATTTCAGCTATAAAATCTTACGTATTTCATAATTTTCAATAATCCTGTATAATGAGTCTCTGCATTTTTATGACTTTTTGATCCTTTATGTAACTTACTTAAGCTTTTTATTGCTACACCTTGTTGAACAAAATATTCCTAGAAAAAAAATAATAAATGAAACACATTATAAATAAAAAATAAATAATTCTCATTTACTGTGCCAAATTCTTCATCGGACGTAGTAGATTCAGAACTTCTACAAGTCGAATTCATTTCTGTGATAGTGTTTTTCTCATATAATACTACAGTACCAGGTCCAACTAAAAAATAATTGGAAAACATTGAAATTATTGAAATTATATTGAACAATAATAATATACTAAGCAATGAATATTTAATTTAAAATTGTCAATATTTATAAATCATAATTAGTCCTGATTTCAAGTTAGCTTAGGCATATCGTATGCACTATATTTTCACCATTGTAAAAATATTATCAACAACAATTTTACCTGCGTTATCATTTTCATTTGTATTGGTTTCAATAACGGTTGTATTAGATGTCATTGATTCCATTTTTCTCATTAAGAACAATATGCCTTTTAACAAATTAGACCTGTCTTTTTTATCTTCCGGTTCAGTTACCATTAATTTATCTACACGATTCATTAAATGACATAATTTTGCATCCACTGTTCTATATTGTTCACTGTACCTGTCCCCTTTGATGTTGTCGATCATTGTGTTGATGACTTGTAATTTTTTAACACACGTTTTCACCTCGCTTTTCACATCTAATGGAACATTGCTGTTGGTCACCATCAACGATTTACCTTCTACTTCGATCTTCAACAACCCTCTCAAAACACTTCTCATTTCGTTTACATTGTTCATTGATGCTATGCCTCTGGACTTTAACTCGTACGACAGTTCTTCTTCTTCCAGTTTGTTGACGTCCATTTTTATCTTTTAAAACTTATATCTAAATGAATAATGAAAAACAAAAAAAATACACATACACACACACACACACATGCACGCGCGCTCGTACCGTTCTATGATTACATACAAAACTGTAAAAGTGTAAATGTAACAGCAACAGCCTTGTAACATTAAGGTCACATCGAACCTGTTATTGTTCCTCTCTTTTTGATGTCAACATAATACGAACTATTACGAACAGCCATCTGCATGCATAATATTATGTACCCCTACTACATAGTGAAATATTTCAAGACGCGCATAGATTTGCGCCTCGTACACAATAGATACTATGAGCATATTAAACGTGTACCTGTTTCAGTTGGATTTAACGTAACTCACAATTATTTATCCCAACGTTGACCTGTAACACCGATCGTTAACATTTGTCCCAGGATCTTAATGATTTTCAATTCGGACACGAAATGCGACGACCAACAGGACGTGATGATTGTACACGTAGATGCAATACTGAACAGACCGTACAGAATGAAAATAATTGTCAAGAAAAAAAAAAAATTTAACGCAGTGAAATCGCAGTTATGTCAGTTCTATTATTGTACGGCGATGTTATCTCGCTAAAATGGAACGCACTACAAAATCAAAACAAAGCGAATAAAATATTGATAAGACGCTGCTGGTGGCATACTTCAATAGCCGGTATTATTTATTTATATGGTGTTATATATTACCGTAAAACAATTGCTTTTGGAATATATTATTTATTATGTATAGTATTTAATAAATATATAATAAATGAAGTTACCAGATTTAGAAATCCTTAAACAGAGACATCATATCGAATGACTTTTTTTTTCGATCCGTTCATATGGGAACCAAAATAAGTATTTTATTTTTAATTTAAATATTTATAAGCTAATACAGAATATATATTATTATTGATCATTGATTATATAACCGTAATATAATGATATAATGTATAATATTATTCTACGTTTTATTATTTAATAACAAATGTTATTTCCTCTCAGATTCTATTAACCGGTACAAACTGAATGATCGGCCGGGACACCGGGATATGCCTTTAAAATCGGGACTATCTTTGAGTTACGTAACAGTATTTTCATTATGTTATAGTAGCATCGATTACCGCGCGCTATTCGATCATTGATTTCTCCATGCACGTCGTTGTTGCTATTTAGGTATTTAAATATTTTCCATTTTCTTGAAACGATAATCATCTACTGCTATGTAGTTTATAGCTAGGTTTCTTCAAAATATTTCTAAATTTTTCTCGATTACACATTGTCCTACGGTTTTACTTGCTCTCAAGAGTTTAGATGTAGTATTTACGACTTCTTCTCTCGTCTCTCCCATAACTACAATGTCATTTGCGTACGCCAATACTATCGTTCCCCGCTCACTTCAATTTTTCGGTCATCCCATACTTCATGGTCTGTATGAATGTGGCGAGAAACCTGGCGAGAATTCTTAAGAAATCCGTTGGTGTGTAATAAAACAAATTAACAAAACAACATTATATTATACTTACGTCATTGGTGCACCAATAACGACCCGTATGGCACACCGCCGCATGGTTTGGAATCCAGGACACCTAGAAAATTTATCATACTGCTTTTTTTTCAAATTCAATTAGCCATTACCTAATATCGCGTGTGGCTGTCGCCAAGTCTGATTGTATATTATCACTAAGGCTTGAGACTTCTTGGAGTTTGCATGTTTTTAAATAATCATCAAAAACATAGCTAAGTAGTATAGCAATTTGTTTTGTAGCAATAAAAGTTTATTTTTAAAATTTATAGTTGCATATTTTGCATATTTGACCGTTTTTTACATTTTATAAGTGCATATTTGACAATTATTTATATAAAAGAGTAAGTTTTTTTAATTTTATAAAAAAATCTATGGATTTATTTCTTCATCTATTACTCGACTTGGAAAGCAAGGTGTGGTACTAACTGAATCCATTAAAAAAATTTTAACAACAAAAGAACATATGTTCTAAAAAAATTGAAAGATCTGCATAAGCTAAAGGATGACAAAATTAAAAAAGTTTTGAAGAAAAATGTTGAATTTGATCAACTACAAAAAAATATCGAACATTTTAAATGGACAAAATTAATCTATGGCCTGCAGATATTAGTAGTAGTGACCTACCATTTTTTAAGTTCGTACCAATAAGTTCCGTAGACGTGGAACGTTCCTTTTCTAAATATAAAAATATTTTCGCTGATAACAAGTGGTCGTTCAAATTTTCCAACTTAAGAAAATATCTTATAGTACAATGTAATGCTCACAGTAATAATTACTACATTACAAATAGAAAAATAGTATTAATTTAATTTATTTTTAAAATAATTTTAAATTTTTTAAGCAAAGCTTAATATTATTCTTTACCAAACTGCATAATAACCGAGTTCACACGACGTTATTCTTCTTATTACACCACTTTTATGTTTTTGTGAATTATTTCTTTATTAGGTTCTACGCACAATTTTTATTGCTTACTCCACTAGCGTCCATATTCGTGAAGGTTTTGTTCTAGGTTAACAAAGTCCGTATGCTAACCGTGTAAGAAGCCAGAGTAGTCCAGATCACGCAACATCTTGATGCCCAGGATCGTCATCATTCTATCGAAATTTTTAGTTAGTTCTTCAATGTGACTTGAATGTTTAGCATAAAACATTTATCCGGTTTCATATGAACTCGGTTGATCATTCCATCAGACCGACCCGATTACCAGGAGCTTCATAGAGAGGTTCTCCCTTTATCAAATTCTTATTACTGCACTTTAGCGTAAGATAATTTGCATATTTTGCTCCTACTGTTATATTATACAATCCTTTACTGTACACCCGTCATGTGCCTCACACATTGCCTATCGAACCAAAAGTACGGCTTAAGTACGGTTCAATACTCGTCCGTATTAAAGGTCTGTGGTGGTGAACAATTTTTTCTTCTTCTTTGGTCGAAGAAGTTGAACACAGTTATTTAACGATTTTAAAACATGTTTATACATTTTTAAAGACTTACACACTTAAATGCTACTACCTTGTTCAAACAGAAATATTTTTATTATGGTTGTCGCTATTTTCCGAGGAAATTAAATACCATTTTTTCTATACAATTTTACTATACTATTAATTATGATTTTATTAATTATTATGTGCTTCTCTATTTATGATAAATATTTATTGATTGTATGCATTTGAGTAAGTTCTACAAACTAATTTGCTTCACATATCGCATCAGCTGTGTAAATATTTACTGTCAGAGTCATGTATACTGCAATATTAACGAATAAAAACTAATCATTATTTGCAGTTGAAATTCGGGATAAATTCAAAATTCCTATTTTAAACATAAAAACGAAACAAATTTTATTCGTAGTTAATAAGGTTACACAAAATAAGGTTGAATGATTTCTACGGATACGATTAAAAAAATGATTGATGTCGAATAAAGTATAATATACGAGTGGGCATGAAAACACTGAAATTACATATGAAACCGAAAAACCATGTTTGCGTTCAACACCAGTATAACTATTTTCAAATGGTTGTTCGCATGACGTCTGCACCCAAAAATAATAATAAAAATTAATCAACTTCGAACTTGGCATCATTTGAAAACATTCGATTAATTCGATGCCAATTATTTTCTTTCGCTTTTTTTTCGAAACAAAATAATATTCATCAGTCCCAACTGTTTTATAATCAAATTGTTTTTTCTTATTCACCTTCCAACCATATTGTAGTCACTACAGATGTTTTATTTTCTAACCTTTACTTAATTAACGGCCGTACCACTTTGTCCACGTACTTACTATTTATGTACATACAACCGTGCTTTATGATTTAATTATATTATATACAAATAACTAGTTGCTTGGTCATGGTAGCTAGGCAGACATCGTTGCCTGGGTCCCGAGTTTTTTTTTTTACTCAATATACCACACACACGCACACAGATAGTACATCATGAGTAAGTATTTTCACTATCCCACTAGAAAAATGATTTCGTTACGCCTTTGTTGTTACGTATTTGTTTAAATTATAACTAAAAAACGCATTGCAGTTGAATTTTACGATTTCTATCATGCTCTTAATCAATTTCTGCTGCCACTGTTCCGTGATACTGATAATTTTATTGATGATATAAATATCGTTGTTCTTAATTATATCGTCTCCGTGGTTACATTTTTTCTCCTTTGTCTGTTTTGTATTCTTTTAAATCTTTAAGTTTTTCGACTAATCTCCACGATATTTTTACAATTTCATTAACATTTTCTTGATTACCAAATCAGTGCTACCGAGAAAAGTGACTGCATATCATGCAAAGGCACGTAGGACGTATTATAAATACGATGGGTACAAACAACTGTACATGATGTGAACAAATTAACCGTGGGTTAACTATGGTAAATAAGGACAAATAAATTAAGTATAATGAGTACAGAATAAACTATAAGTATCCGAAAAGTGATCATAATCGAAAATGCAATAATGTGATAAAATTAAATATTATAAATATACGTTATAACTAGGGATGGGCAAAATTGTTTGAACATTGATATGCGATGTATCGATACATCGATTTTTAAAATATCGATGTGTTCGATGTATCGGTAAAAAACTATCGATGTTTAAGAACATCGAAAAAATTTTTTTTCCCTCTAAAGTTGCATCTTTTGTACACCTTATTATCTGTACAGTGTATTATTTTCTTGATTAAATAATAAATTTAAGAGTTAAAATACTATTGTTTAACTTATATATTTTAAAAACATTAAATACTTATAATCAGGTCTCGTAAGTTCATGCATTTACATGTTTTCTTTGCTACATCGGAAAATATGCTAATTGAGATAAAAATCCGTTTCATAACAATGGTAATAAAAATCTAAAATTTAACAGAGCATGCTTTTGTATGTTTTGTGTGTATTGACATATTTGGCATATAGTTGATTTTTTTTGAGTTATTAGCGCATATAATTTTATGTAAATTCAGCAAAATCATTTTTCATGAAGTCAAAAAAAAAAAAAATGAGATTTTAATGATATTAAATTTTATAAGTTAAAAGCAGTATTACGAAAACAATGTTATTGAGCACCACTACCACTTTCCTCCTATTGACGAGTACATTGCAATCTATCTATTTTCGTCACAACGTGTGTTCATTAATTCTAATTTTAATAAAATGTAACCGAAGAAAAATTATAAAATGGATAGTTCTTATTATTTTTTAAAAATCCTTAAACGTTTTTTTTTCGTGCATAGTTAAGAATTTTTAATGCATATTTGATCAAATGTTACTGCATTATT